GACATTCATCACTCCTTGCGGCTCCATCCTCTCCCTCCTTGATGCCACCAACTTCGCTACCAGTTGGGCCTACCACTTTCTACAAATCGGCTAGATCCTCCGTTGCAGCCGCTATCCTTTGGAAGATGTCCTTGATAGGCATTCCTCTAGTTTATGCTTTCGATAAAACCAGGCCAGATAGTTTGTCACTTCTTTGTCCTCGACATGGATTTTGCTGAGCGCAAGACCATCTGAGAATTTTTCATTGATTACCGCTTTCACCTTGGATAAGGTCTGGTCCATTCTCTGCCCCGTGTCTACCCCAGAACTAGACGTCAAACATGGAAAAAGGGGTCTTGACAGCTTTGAGTCTCTTCTGCTTCCTTGTCTGCAGCAACCTTTCCATTAAATGCCAATACGCCAGATGTTTTCGCTCAGCCGCACATATCCCAGATCATGTCAGTCTGTAGGCCGCAGTTCTCTGACTGTACTGATTCGCTGTATGCTCTTGCCAAGGGATATCATCTGCTTCGCCTTTTCCGCGTATTTTTTGCCTTCTTTATGTCTGCCTTAGTCCTTCTCGTTCTCTCCGTCTTCGTCGGCACACATTACGCAGCCTCCAGGCAGACAAAGAAGAGGCTGCAAGAGACAGAGAAGTCGCCAGGTAACTGGATACCAGGATAGTCTGTATAGAAAGAGTCGGTTTCGAACGCAATTTATCACTCTCCCAGGGTTCGAGTTCTACCCACAGACAAGCAGTCTAACTCGCAGCTCCGGCATCCGGCTAGACGTTGGGGTTTCCGATCAAATTCCAGCCACTTGATGGCATTCTCATCCCTTTTGCCGTCCGGGGGGTTTGTGCATGAGTCGACCGAGCATGACGATTGGAAGTTGTAACTGCGGATGACCAGATTACCGCCGTTCATCAAACTCCTCTTCACTCGAGCCAGACTTGCTTGTCCACTTGTAATTGGCTGTCAGAAGGTCTGGAAGCTGGTTTGTCTGTCGCCCACGCCGGACACC